CTCCAACTAAGATTTACTTGTTTTGGTTTTCTGAGAATGGGACTCAGTGATATCTTTGGAACTAAAGCATTGTGCTTTTAATCTTTGCAAAAATCTTTTCTTGTCTAGCACTCCAGCAACACTGGGACAGAGACATGGGAGATGCCGAGGAGGAAGTGGCATTAAGGCGGCAGTGTTAGGGTCAGGGCTTGAGATTATCATTCCACTGGCCTGCAGGGTCCTTCAGCTTCTAAGCAATCTGAAATCTATCAGGCAAATTTACCTGGTTTCTATGCCAGGTTTTGTTTTCCTAGTAGTGGCTGTAGGTGTCACTGGAGCATTGGTCAGTGCATGTAGGAATCATACAAGAGGCCTGATAAGCAGCATGAACCAAAGTAGGCCTCGGTAACAGCATGAACAATGGAACTTGTTGCCTGGAAAACAGACTACATAGGGCCTAAGTGGAAATGGGGGCCAACAGATGTAAAGCAGTTGATAAGATGAGTACACCACCAAAACAAAGATCGGAGTGATCTGGTAAACAACAAGTCCTCCTATCTGGTAAGAAGGTCACAATGGTCTAGTGAGAACTGGATGTGAATGTCACTGTTTACTACTGGGGAGAACTAGGTGGTGTATGCTGTAAATAGGAAATTGTTATAAAATGTCATGTTTTCAGTATTCAGGAACCCTAAATACTTTGCACTGAGCTGAAGGCCATATTTGATGCTGGTGGCATGTTCAACAGATAAGCCTGGTTAGTGCTATGTCTGGATGGGCATGTATAAGGAAGTACTTAGCCTGAAGAGGGCTGAAACCCAGCTGCAGGTAGCAATTAAGAGTTTGCCTGGCTGGAAGGCAGGGAGTAAGATGCAACTGATGGCCAGTAAATGAGGATGAGGGAGAGAGAGGAGACCTTCAGGAGCAAAGTGAAAAGGGTAGGAGAAGAGGGAAGATGGATGTGCTGATGGACAAATACACAGAGCCTAGGTTACCCCTCTCTAGGTCTGAAGAAAGACCATTGGTTTTTGGTTTAGTTATTTGCACACTTCTTTATTTTGTTCTTTGCTTTGTCCAGTGTGGGGGCAAGATTCCCGATGTAAAGTAAACTGGCTAGAAATCTAAACTCAGATCTGACTGACCTTGATAAAGAAGCTGGGTGAGTGACCTGCTTACTTCATGATATTAGTGTCTAGTATTGTTTGTGAACAATAAACCCCAAAGAGTTTTTGTTACTAAGAACTATTGCCTGCTGTCTCTTTATTACAGTTAACAAACTCATTAGGAGGAGTAGTAGTATAGTATCACTGATGGCATCCTGATAAAGCATGCACATGTAAACCAAGAGAGTTTTATGTGGCAAGTCCTATTCTACCCCTGACCACACCTGGTGGGGTCTGACAGTAGGTACCTTTTGATTGTCATGCAGGCATCTTTCTCCTGCTCCTATTCTTCCTCTCAAAGGGTATACCATTGTTTACAGATTTTAATGACAACTGTTGTTTCTAATCTACATTTGCACTATCCCCTATTTCCTCCTACATTACACTTCCTATTTATAGCTTTTGCTTATTTGAGTTTGAGTCTCTGGGTCCATCTGACAAATTTCTCCATGGAAGGGGTGATTTTTGCCTAGAAAAAGAAATCACAATTAGGGATAGCTCCACCCACAGTTTGTTTCCCTTCTACTCTTCTTTAATATTCACACTTTTAAATTAATCCCACTCTCTTGCTGATGTTTACAGCCATCTAGCGGACAGCTCATGGAACTTCTGAAGCTGCTTGCATGAGAAACTGTCTTGACCACTAGTAAGACAGGTAGACAAGGTAGTGTTGAGGTGATGTTTTCTTGCTGTGGTCATCCAGGAAACAAATGAGAGGCAAGAATTCTTGTGGGTTGCATCTTTTATTGGACCAACTGCATGGTTGGGATTGACATGGACAAGACTTCAGGTATCACAGTACCCTTCCCTAGGCCTTTGGGGCTAAGTACAGACAGTCAGAAAGCCCAAGGCTGAATCTATTCAGTTTTTGCAGGTTAGTCTAAACTGCAGAGATTAATCTGAGAAACAACTGGATACACATTTACTTTTGATTCAGGAAATTCAACCACATGCCTGCAGCAGGCATGGCTGATGAACTCAGACTGGTGAGGCAGTGGAGTGTCCCACGGGAGCAGTGGGGGGCAGTTTGCAGCCGGCCAGCAGCAGGGGGAGGGGGGAGATTTGCCACTGGCTGGAGGTGGGGAGGCAGGGGGCAGTTTGCAGTCTCCCCAGAGTGCCCAGCCAGCTGCAAACTCCACCCTGCTCCCAGACAGCTGCAACCCCTCCCTGTCCCACCTCCCCCACCATGAGACTCTCCACTGCCCCACCAGTCTGAGTTCACCAGCCATGCCTGGCCTGCAGTGGCTCAGGCCAGAAGCCGGGGGCTGGAGTGGGGCACTACAGCACAGTTCTCCGGCATGTAGGCAGCATGGGCTGTGTGTTTACTTCCTCTTCCTGCTGCCCCTGAGGTCTCTGGGATTTGCAGTCAAGACTCATAGCAGGAGGACTCTTCCTGCTTCCAGGCACAGGCAGAGCCTGCTTTCAGGTGGGATTTGGAATCTGGGATTTGTAGTCCAAAGCCAAAGCAAACAGTAAATTTGAGTGGGGGAAGGAGTGTTTAACCCCCTTCCATGGCCTCAGGCCCCAGCTGGGGTTTCCCTGGGAGGAGCAATTCCTACCCTCCCTTGCCCCCTTTCTTTCCCCCCCACCAACCCTAACCCTTCTCTGCTGGGCCACACAGGACAGCACAGCCCAGGGCTGGAAAGTATGTTGGGATAACAATGATTTAACTTGAACCAGGAAGGGGTCTGGGACAGACATTTCCTAAACTGGCTTGACTCAGATCAATTAAGTCTGATACTACATTCAACCAGGTTTATCTTAAACCAGCTTCAGCTGTTTTGAAACTGGTTTATGTGCACTGAACTTTTGTTCTGTTACAGATTTAAATCAGTTTCTGATGGCTTAAACTGGTTTGTGTGTAACTTCTGTCCCTAGCCCAAGAGCAAAGCAGACACAGCAGAGCTAAGTAGTAGTTTGAACAAAAGCTTGTGAAAAACTCCACATGTAAATGAAAACAGGATACAAGATAAATTACCAGATAACCAACAGACTGGAGAGATGTAGTAAATACCTGAGAAAGGAAGAACAAGGTTGTTCAGGAGGGTCATCATCACCTGTGTTGAGTGTCAGGTAGATTATAATAGACCATTATCTATGTTAAGCCCTTTAGAGCACATCTACATATCACCCTACAGCAGCATAGCAATGTGTTATGTCACCGTATGACACACTATGGCAATGTAACAATCACGTGGGTCTACACATGATCACCAGCAATGTCACCGTAGCAGTGCACTCCCCTGGAAATCTAACCATGCGCCGTGCACAAGGCGCAGCAACTGCCCATACTGCACCATGCTTTAGTACATCAAAAAGGAAGTAATAAAGCACAGCGCCATAGCAACGTTACTGTATGGCAATGTGTAGATGTGCCATTAGTGTTCAATAGTATTTCTGTTCCCAGCCTGTAAGGGTGTTAGATATATTTCCTTGGAGTACAAGAACTGTGAGGTCAGAGAGTGAGGGATTTCCTTTTCCCTCAGAAAAGGAATGGTCTCCTTTCTGTGTTCTAATGTCTTTTTCCTCTACCTTTTCTCAGCGATTATTCATTCTGGTACAGTTTTTGTCTGGTTCAACTCGCATAGTCTCCATGAGGGTATTTGGTGCACTGGATAAATTGTACCACTTTCTAGGATAAATGTGTATGGCCCATGGTTTCTTATGGCCTTGTTGTGGAGAGTGTTGATTGTTGTGGCAGTAGAGATGTGTTGACGGGTCTTGCATTTACTAAGACAGGGCTGGGTCCCATTAGATGCCTGCTGATCAGCAGCAAGTTTACTTCTGATGAGTTGGGCAAGGTTTACGGTGCTGTTTGAAGACCAGGAGCAGGAGAGCTAGGAATATTTTTCTCAGGTTCTGATCTTTTTAAAGTATAGACTGTAGTTGTTTGATGATCCTTCATGTAAGTTTTTAGGATGGCAGGTGACAATTAAGGGCATGCAGTCAGTGCAGGGGAGGAGGGGGAGTTGTATTGTAGTAGGTTGCTGTAGAGCATCTGGATGGCTCTTTCAAAGATACAGATCTATTTCCTTGCTGGGTAAAGGCAGTTTTCAGTTTGGCAAGATGGGTGTGTGACAGGCTCAGGGGATCTGTCCCAGCATCTGATCTCCTCTAGTGATCACAGTCCCCCTCGAGTCACCCACGCCCCTTGCTTTTGCTTTCCTGCCTCCCTACCCTCCTATCTCTTTCCTGCCATGACTTGATCGTAACGTCTTTCTTTTAACTGGGGAGGCTGCCTCCAGAGGCTGGGGTAACCACTTCTTGGGTGCCTTTCTTCTTTGTACACCTCAGGGGCTCTTCTGCCCCAAACTCTACTGGGTGTGTTTCCCTTTTATGACAGCTCTAGTTGTGCCTTTGGGGCTATAATCATGGTCTTCATTCTCCCCTTCAGGCATATCCATGCTGCTCAGGCACCACTCAATATTTAGAGGGTGCCTGACTCCACACTTGGCACCACAGGCCTCAAATCTTTGTTGAGACTTCAGCCTTCATGACTTAAGTCTCTTTCTTAGGCTGTGCCCCCAACATCAGGTCCACTGTCCTTGACCTTGGACTCTGGGCCACAGTCCTGTCTCACCCTCTTGGGTTCTGGGCCTCTGGCCCTAGTCTCTTGTGGCCACCCCTGAGATCCCTGACCCTGGTTAAGCTATTTGTGTGCTGCTCCACCCTTGGGGTCCCTCACCCCTAGCACAGCAGCTGTATGCTGGGTGCCTTTCCATACTGTCCCCATAGCTACAACTCAGTCCTCCAGCCTTAAACTTAGTTTTGTATTTCTGTTATGCTTGTTTCCTATTCAGTTAAGGTTTTCCCCAACTCTAGGTCTATACCCCATGGCAAGCTATGCTTTCCCCTTACCTGTCTCAGTCTCACTCTTGTGGATAGCTTGGGTGTCTGTGGGCCTGTTTCCTGTGGCCAGCTGCCCCAAAAGCTCTTCTCCCTATAGCATGCATGACATGCATGGCTCAGGCCCTGGATTTATATGCCTCGAAGCCCTGCCCCTTCCTGTCATGTGGCTCCCAAGCCACACAAAGGAGTTTCCCGTTTGCTTAAAGGCAGGCCTGTGCTCCTCTAATGCAACTCCATACAACAGCTTACCCTACTGCATTGTCTTAAAATAACAGTATCATAAGTATTGTCTTTATAGCAGACGCAGTGGTACATGAGAACCTGGATATAGATCACAACTTTTTTGGTGCATTTGGGGTGATTGCTGGTTTTGTGGGTCCATGAGTTTTCTGTATATAGCAGTTTCTAGGGTACCCTCCCAGATGTTGAATTCAGAATTCTGATTATGCCCATGAGTCTTTTAACTGATAATTAGAAAATCTTGCTGGTTGACACAGAAGCTTATGTATACGTACATATATTTATATGTTCCTGTCTCTGTTCAAATCCAGTAGCCAATTATATTTCAAATGAGAAAAGCTCAATAACTACGTCTATCAAAATCCATAGGCAATACTTGCTACTGGGTTAGCAGCCTACATTCAGATGCCCCCTAGTACGCTTGCTTTTAGCCAGTAAGTTCTCTTTATCAGCTCAGCTGCATTCCTTCTCTTCCTGGCAACAGTAATCACCTAATAGCAGGACTGCCTTCCAGAGCTTCTCAGGACTTCACGGCACTTCACCAGTCATGACTTATATTGACATCCCAGTCCATTCGGGTCCTAGAAGAGGATTTTCTATTACCGTCTTACTTTGCCACAGCTCGAGGTCTGTATTTTCAGTTTAATATTCCTCATTATTCCCTCAGTGTTTCCCTCAGTAAAGTTGCAAAGCTATCTTTCATCCTCTCTCTCTTAGCCCCCCTCTGTGGGTGCTGGTGATAACCCTAAAATTCAGAGGAAAAACAGAACAAAAGCATGTGGGCCAGGAAGCAAGGGATACTACTACCCTGCTGATCTCCTGGACTTTCTTCCTAGAACCTCAGTGCCCACCAGATCCTCCAACCATCAGTCCTTAGCCAAACTGGTTCTCAGCTGGCTGGATGCTTATTCCCAGTCCTCTTCCAGACCATCTATTTGGGGTTTGACCCTCTCTGTAGTTTACTACAGAACCTTTCTCTCTCCTTCTTTCATTATAGGCCAGTCCCAAGGGTAACATCCCTCTGTCCTTCCATCCACCTCAGCTAAGTTCCTACAGCTCTTTAAGGTATGTCTCCACTGAAGCTGAAATGAGTGATTGAACATATTGAAGCATAACCTGGCTAATTCAGTATCAATAGTCATCCTAGCATGTAACCAGGGTCCCTCATGAATTTGTACAGTACTCCATGAAATCTATACCACTAAACCCTCACTGCTATTAACTAAACTAAGAGAAGCATGTTTATGCATTCTATTACCATCTTTCCTGATTGTAGATATACCTTTGGGAAACTAGATAATCTCCTCTCAGCTGAGTCAGATAATTGATCCAAACCATCAGATCCCTAGGTGATGAGGATCAGCTGTAGGAGAGGAGGTGGGGGCGAGTTGCTGCTCAGTTTCAGATGAGGCTGAGATCAACTCCTTTTTAAAGGACCTCCTGGTCTTTAACTGATTGCATAATTCAAATTTATATTTATATTAATATAGCTCAGCTCAGCTGGTTGCAATTCGGGTATGTACTTGCAGTTTCTTAAAGGCACATTAAATGCGTGAGGGTTTAAGTATGGTACTTAGGCCTTATTGGACTGAAATGCAACATGCCATTTTCAAGCTTTGAAGTGATTTACACTATTGCTTGGCCATTTTCACTGTTTTAGAGTTGGAAAGTTACAGCTTAGCTGTCTGAATTGGGCCACTAATTGTATCAATTCTACCTCAATTTTATATTCCTCAAATTCCAAATAACTACATTAAAAGTTCTGTCGTGTAACTGAAAAACAAGGATGACAAGACAGCAAACAGAATGGCTGGAAATGTACTGCTAGAAGTAGAGAGATCCTTTTGGCCTGTGTCTTTCTGCATACAAGCATAGATTAGCAAATCAAACACTCCTGAATCTTCTTTTGAATTTAGTTTTATTCATCTGGTCTAATGCCTTAATAGAAGATTTAGAGCCAAGCTATCTGATCCTGGTGCAGGTATAAAGGATGGAAAAGAACAATAAGTCATGCTCACACTTTGCTTTCAACTTCATACCTCATGCAAACTCCACAAATAATAGCTTTGTGCTCAGGTCAACACTGAAACTATTCCCCCAGAAATATAAGTAGAGTGTAAGGGGGAAAAGCTATAGGGCTGTCCATTATCTCCTACTAGGCTGCAGAAACAGGCCAGCCGAGGAATGAGAGGAGTATACTGCACTGTCTAAAGGGAACTGGCAAGGGAACTGCCGGGCTAGGGACAGACATCCAAAAAGCCTGAGCCTAAATTGATTCAACCTTTGCAGGTTAGTCTAACCTGGCTAGGCTGAGCTGGTTTGCAACTGGACAGACATTCTCTCTGGATTGTGGAAATTGAGGCACAGGCCTGCAGTGGCTCAGGCTAAAAGCTGGGGGGTACTAGAGCAGCCCTCCCTTCCCTTACACAGAGCTGAGCTGAGCGGGGTGTGGCCAGGTGCTGGCAGGACCTCTGATTAGGGAGGTCTTCCTACACCACCACAGGCTTTTCCCTGCTGGCTGCTCAAGGGGTAGGAGTGTTGCCAGACCCCAGCTCTCTGCTAGCACTCTGAGGCAAGGGGAGGTGTGCAGCACATGCATCTGTTGATGATATGGAGCTTCTCAATCTTCCTCCCTGCTCCTTTATACTGTCTGCAGCAAACTGACAGGCAAGTAAGCCAGCAGGGTATTGATAACAGTGTTCATCAAACCATCAGCTAAAGTTTATCACCCCATCATAAGAAGAGTTCAAACTCTTCTTAAACAGCTTACCAACTGACCTGTTGATTACCTCCAAAAAGCCCTAAGCAGTCACTGTTCTGTCTGCCTGTCTCAGTGAAATTGGAGACACACACACAGACACCTCTCAGCATTAGCTAGCATACCACATGCCTAGGGTCTGTGGGACTGCGGTCTGTGTTTTGAGAGATGGGAGGGAGGGGGAATTTCTGCTTGAGTAGCGAGCAGAAGGGGCGGGGCAGGGCAGGGCAGGGGAAAGTCAGGCAGACCCTACTGTATCTGCAGTCTCTGCTGGAGCTCCAGCCAGGGAACCAAGGGGAGGGGCCAGCTGAGCTGTGGAGCAGAGCCCAGCCCCACCCAGCCTAGAAAGTATGCTGGTATGCTGAGGAAGTCTGATTTATCTTAAACCAGGAAGGGGTCTGGGACAGACATTGCATAAACCAGTTTGATCCAAATCAGTTAAGTCTGATACTACATTCAACCAGGTTTATCTGAAACCGGTTTCTGCCACTTTCAAATTGGTTTATGTGCACTGAACATCTGTTCTGTTACAGGTTTAAACCAGTTTCTGATTACTTAAACCAGTTTATGTGTAATGTCTGTCCCTAGTCCAGGAAGGATGAAAGTGGAGGATCAATGTAACAGAACTCTGCTCCTGCATGCATTACCTCTTGCCCCCTCTTGCCTCAGTAGTCCCCCTATTGCAACAACAGGGAGAGCACTTGGCAGAGGGGCTGCTTCCTTCAGATTTGGACCAGTTTGGAGCCCCTTGCACAAGGGAACTGCTACTGTACCACTTCTGGCTAGAAACGGCTATGTTGTACTACCTAAGCACTGATGGCACCAATGGTTCTCAACCACATTAGACTCAGGACGTCCCTCAGAAAATGCCAGCTACTAGCTTCCACAGTCCATTCTTTCACAATCCAACTTTTTACTATGGAAAAATAATACAGCAATTCTTTTGTTGCGGAGAACTCAGACCACTATCCTGCTTTCCAGCTTTGCTTTTTAAAAGCCAGGAAAAATCTCACACATCTGTGGATTTTCTATAATCATGAGACATTTGACTGCATTGTGGCCACTATCAGGAAGCTGCAAAATTCCTCCTTTTCCTTTCAATTAAAACTCAGTTTATTAATTTATTATTAGAAAACTATGCAACTCTGAGGGCTTTGCTCAGGAAATGGCTCAAACTGCCTTCTACTAGGGCTATGGCAGCCCAGGCTTTGAGGGCGATTTTCGGAGGGTGGGGGCTTTTACCTGAAACATCCTGCATTAAAGGTGGTGTTAGTCGACATTGGCAATTTTTTAAATCTAAATGGAAAATTATCAAATGATGCATGAAACAATGTGTGGCTTCAAGGATTATAAAATACAGTTGACTCTACAAAAGAAACAATTTATTTGGAGACACAAATCACTTAAGAAACTATTTTTTTCAGGAATGTCTTTTAAGGCCTCGTTTTTGAGAGAGAGTACATTATGTTTGAATTTATGATACGGGATTTATTATATACTATAAGCATTAGAAAGCGTGTATAATGTCATGGTGGGGGTTCCATTGCCTTCAACAGAGCCAGGATTTTAACCTCTACAATAGACTTTAACCAAAGTTTTTCACTTGGACATTACAATGAGCATATACATAGACTGAAATAGACTGACTTAGGATACCTCATTCACATACCATAGAGAGTAAATCTGGACTGGTAGATGCATCACTAAGTCCTTCTTATTTCTTATTCAGAGGACCTTTTACCTGTTGTTATTAAACGAGGCAGCTGAGTTCCTCCAGGTGGCACAAGTGCATAGCATGCAGCACAGGCACTCTAAACATGCTGAGGCAATGTGTTTAGGGAAACAATCGGGAAAGAAGCCAGATTTTTAAAATAGAACAATTAAACTGAGAAGAGCTTCAATTTAGTGAGCCAAATTTTACTTTCTCAGTGGTATAAATTCAAAATCCAACCCATTAGAATTGATTCAAGTGGTCAGATGAGAGGGGGGGAAAGTACAGATTTTTATCATTCTATTTCCTTGGTTCAAATTACAGCACAATACTCTCTATATCCACTTTTTTTCATTTTACTATTTTGAAAGTCAG